CCGTGGGGAGGACCGGAGTTCCGCGGGGTTTAGCCACGGCCCCCCTCGCGGTGCTTGGGGCATGTCTACGCCTGACATCCCCTGGGGTGGGGCAGCATGGGGGGAATCCGCTCCCCTCAGAGCAGCATCGCAGGATTGCTCATCATAAGGCAGATTTCACGTGTTGGTGGGGGAAGCGGCACTGGAGGCTTTAGTTGTTAGTTAAAAAAAAACAACAAAAAAAAAGGAGCTATGAACAGAAGCACTGACTGTGTAAAATCATTTGTCTCTCGAATAACCTGCATGGAGGAAGCCTTCCTTGAAGGAGCAAGGTATGTTACTTCGTGACACATCTCACCTTAATCGAAAAGGTGATGCTACAGAGCAGGTCGGATGCTGTGTGTCCACTTAGCCTACGTACAGTTCACATTCCAGTAAAGGCAGTATCTCTCCACACTTCCTTACCCTCAGAAGTATTTCCATGCAAGCTGCTGCGCTGTCCGTGATGCGTCTTGCCGAGCTCAGGAATCCTGTGAGAAGGTATTCAGTAGCTTTATTCAGAGCACACGTCGGAGGGCTCAGATGTTCTCCACCTTGAATTTATTTTATTTAACTTCACCTCAGGTGATCACTCGACCTGAAAATATCTGGAGTGTATACTGTAAGGTACCTTTTTATCCTCTTTGCGTTGAAGTAATTCTGTTTTCTTTAGCTGGAGCGTACCCTTTCATGAGAAAAAATTTATCCCTTGGATAAAGTATGTGAAATCATACATTATCATGAGAAGTAGGGGGGGCTTTTTAAAATGCGTTTTGGTATATCAGCTGTTTAGTGTATTTGAAATAGTGTAAGAAATATTCAGAATGCTTAACACACAAATTACTAATCCGAAGGAAGACAGTATTGTCTCATTTTTCTCAGTTGAGCAGCTTAGTCCCTGAACTTTGAAAACTCCCAAAACATTTGAAGAATGCAGCAGAAAGGGTTAGTTTTAGATTGGCCTTCACCTGTTGATTTGTCACATAACTTTGAAGAAAAAAGGATACATGCATTAGTTCCAGGGCTGTGTAGGTGGTTCTTCACTCTTAAGTAAACTGAAACTGGCATGTGAAAATGGGGTTAATGTATCCTGTGTGAAATAAAACTTAAGCTAACATAGTGCACTGCTGTGGTGCCATAAGTCAAGCACAGGAGGTTTCTGAGCTGCTTTTAAAAACTAACTCTTTTCTAGAGACCCACCCCTACAACCCACAGATGCTCTAATTTAACATGGTGTAGTGTTGTATGGAAAACAGACTTAATCAGACAGCATTTGGCTACCTCCCAGTGCTTTCTAATTATTCAAGTAGTTTGAATTCTGTCCAGTGCTTGAAAGTTGGTACATTTTCAAGTGGAGCTGGAAAACCTACCGCTTCTTGGAATAATTGTGCCATAAACTTTTGTAATTCGTTGGTTTGTCCTTAGACTGAATGGGAGAACTAAAGCCATGATGGTTCTGCCAACTATGTTTTATTGAATGTGGTTTTTCTGACATGATTTAGTCTTTTTTTTTTTTTTTTTTAAATTCCTGGAGAGTTGACATCTCTCTAGGTAGTACTAGTATCTGGTGTTCAGGAGTGCCAGTATATATCTATAAATGGTGTTTGGCCAAGTTACACCTAAACTAAGTGTGTTTTGGACTGCTGCCATGTTAATGAAGGCCATGTGTTACAGGGGAATATTAGAAATTGAGTTTTGAACTGCAGGCCCTGGAATTGCTGATGTAGTGGTGGCTTATTGGGATGTTCCCTGCACACGTGCTTTTGTAGTGTCAGTGCTTCCCGTTTATGGTGTTCACTATCTCCTGCTCCATGAAGTGGTGCCTTGTGCAAGAGCATGTGGGCCATCAACTTTCAAAATACCTTCTTCCACTTTCTTTCTAATAAGCTGCAACTGCTCTGTCATCTTCAGCTCTCAAGTCTCTTTAGGCTTACCCCCCATTTCAGTGTTTTAAGTGTGTTACTTCACATGTAAGCACGAGAGATTGGATTTCTGTTCCAAAAAAAAAAAGTCTCAGTGACTGACCTGCTCAATCAAGTAAGAACATTATGGAAAAATATGTGCACAGTCCCTTTTCAAATAACTTTTTTAAACCATCTCTACTAATTGAAATGCTGCTTTTTCAGGTAAAATTGAAGGATTTATAAATAAGCCTGAGTTTCCATGAATCTGGAAAAAAAAAATCAAAAGGAAACTGATGCTTGGTATAGTTCAGCTCCCCTGTCCTATCATATCCATGAAAACAGGGTGCTCTTATATTTAAGACCCTGATCCACAAGTGAATTCCACATGGATCTCTACTGCAGTTGGCCGTCTGTCTATGTACTAATCTAATCCAGGTTAGAGAAGTTTGATTATTTTTTTTTCCAACTTTTTTTTTTTAGTTCTCGGAGTATTTGTTCAAATCATCTCCAACATGAATAGGTGTCTGAATTTTCCACTGACGTTTCTTTTGTGCAAAAATTTCTGACAAAATGCCCCACTAATAACGCTGATAAAGGGTAGTCAGTAAAGAAAGAAATGTCACAAAACAATTGGAAAGATGTCACTGCCTCTAGCTTTCTTCTTGACACTGGAAATAACTGTGGACTTTAGTGGGAATTTTGTTGTACCTTTGGGTTGTTCCAAGGGAGATTGGCCATAACAAACTGAAATGCATGATGCACAAATTTTAGTTAAAAGATTTATGCAATAGAAGACAATAAGATCTGTTCGTAATTGTGGTTTTGCTTTGCAGTGGGGGTGTGTGGGGTAATTACTAAACTATATAAAGAGATCGCAGAGTACCAGAAAACATATAAGCTGTACTTGCATCTCCACTGGCTAGTGGCCCTTGCCTTTGCATGTCAGACAGCAGTTTCAAGATGGCTTAGTTGGGCTAGTTGAGTCTTTTCTCATGCATTGTTTTAAAACTTGCTTGATTTACTTGTTTGTGCTTTGGGACTGTGATGGTTTCTCAGCACCTATGTTTTTGTAATATCTTATAAACACTTTTATTTCCCAGGAAAGATGAAGCCTAAACAAATATTTGCAAAAACCCAAATGTAATCTCTTTTCTCAAGAGCCTGCTTTTGATGTAAAAGTATCTATATAGTGTTTTGGTATTTATTGGCCTAAACCAATCTTGCAGAAGGTGTTGTCTGTGTTAAATGCAGAGGAGAAGAAAGTCCCACTTCAAAGAACCAAAGTATTTGTCCAGCACTGTTAAACTTTTAAATCTTAGTTGTGGTGAAAGCTCCCAAATCCTGATTGTCGTTGTATCTCTGGACCTGGGTAAAAATTATTTATGTTCGCTGTGTGATGTCTGTTATATGACAGATAACTACACCACATGGAGCTTGCACAGAGCTGATTGCTCACATTTTATCAGTCTCTTTTGACTTCTTCTGGCTGCTCATCAGTGCAAATGTATCTGTTGTGTAGAGGAAGCATTAGCTTGTGTATAATTTTTTTTTTTTAAACTGGAGAGAATGCTTTGCTGTAACATAACAAATGTAGGGATACTTACAAAAGTCCAATTTAAAAACTGATCAGTAGCATTGGGGGTGGGTTTTTTTTCTTCTGAAATCCTTGAACAGTTTTTTCTTTTGTGTGTGTGATTAGTTATGTGGGATTAACCTGGTGAGAATAAGGATAGTGGCTGCTTCTGCCTTCTTTATTTTAGTTTCACATGTTCAAGAGCCAATTTTATTCCTTCTCCCCTTCCCAGTGATGTGTGGCATTCACCTGTTTTTGGTTAAGAGAGATGAAGTGAATTCCTCCTTGAAGTGGTTGATAACACTTGCAAAGCAAGAGAGTGAAGACTTAAGAATTGCCTGATCATAGGAGGACCTCTGGTACTGATGCCGGGACTTGGGCAGAGCACTTACCTTTGAGTCCTGGGTGCTTCCCTCTGCGAAGTGGGGTAGCACTTTCTTTTGAAGAGGCATGATGAATACTTGATATTTGCAAGAGTCTTCTGAGAAAAAACAAACTGATCATTCTTGATCAAGCATTTCCATTTTGTGGATGAAGTATTCTGATTGTGTTAATCTTTACCTCTGCCTCTGGGACACAAATGCTGTGAAAAATGTGAATGTGGGTTTTTTCCCCTCGTGTGTGGTCACTAGGCTAGCAAAATGGCCTCCACCAAATGTTTCCAAGTGACTCATAGGAACTTTGTACCTGGAGGTACAAGATGAGTCTCTAGGTTGCTGTGCACTTCAAAGTCTTCATGTTGTGTGTTAGCAGAGTTTGTCCTGACTGACTGGGTCTCAAACTTACAGAAGTTTTTCCGCCCTCTGCTTTAACACTGAGATTAGCTGGTCAGACTAATTTATTTCATGTTTTCTCTTTTTTGATTTTCCAGGATGGCCCCCAGAGGAAAAAACGGAAGTCTGAAGTTGCAGAAGTGGACAAGCAGTTAGATATCCTGGCTATTGGTACAGCAGTTGGTAGCATTTTGTTGTACAGCACAGTAAAAGGAGAATTACAGAGCAAGCTAGTAAGTAATAACGCTCTTCATCACATGCTACCAAATACCAATGATTTCAGTCAGCTTATGCTGTTCTTTCTGCTGCTCAAAAATGGAATAAACTAAGCTAATTATTCAGATCTGTTTTTTTTCCTTAATAACTGTGTATATGGATAGAGGTGCAGTAATTCAGGTGCTTGGGAATCTTCAAGTGGTGCTTTTTCTATTGCTGGCAGTATGTACACGTTGAGAAATCTTGGTTTTGAAGTTAATGCAGTATCTTAACATTGTGCAAGGATTTGTTATTTTGCATTAAAAATAACAGTAATGAAGAAATGCCTTACTGATTCTCCATGGGCATGTCATACCCTCAGTTCCTGCACAGTACTGAGGGAGAGGAGGGCAGGATTGAAGTACTCATTGGCTCTTGGGAAGGTGTTGTGTTGATGGACTCTTCTGTAAACTTACCTCCCTTCTGGAAGCTTTTGAGCTCTCTCAGCACATGATCTTTCTCAAATGAGATAATGCTGATTTTTGTTTTACCTTTCTCATTGATAACTTCCCTGTTACTCATAAGTACCTTGGTTTTAGTCCTGGGTTACATAACGAGCAAAATAAATCTGTATGAATGGCTCTGTGCAATGCTTGGAGATATTGGATATACTTTTCTAAACTGTTAGTTGTATGTAGGGTGATAAATGTTCATGAATTTAGGGAAAGCAGTGACTTCTTAGTCATGATACATGCAAGTGACACTAGCTAACGAATATCAACTCTCTTTTATGGAAAAGCTGTATTTATGCTTGAAAACTATGAACAAAATAAAGGAGTTTCAGGTTAAAATTTACAGTTTCACTTGGTTTGAGAACACTGACTGCTCTTCTATAGGAGCAGGATAGCAGATGTTACTTGGTGAGTACTTTGTTTTTTACAGATAGGTTGAATTAAAAGATTATTCCTGGTAGAATGAGAACTGTCACTTTAAGCTGTCCTTACTGAACAGAATGTCTTGCTGTGATGTATTTTGTCTTGCTCAAAGCTGATTTGCAGTGACACTTTTGGAAGTAGTCTGAGCTGGCTGGTACCGATGCAAATAGTGAAATTTTATAAACCCTAGGAAATATTTCAGTATGTGTTTAAAGGGTATATTTGAGCTGCAGAAATTTTTGGTTGTTAAGAGAGGTGAATGATAGCCCTTTGTAGGGTCTTCTGAACTGATGATAG